GTGTAGAGCTGGATGAACACAGCAGGCCAAGCAGCATCAGAGGAGCAGGAAGGCTGACGTTTCGGGCCTAGACCCCCCTTGTTTCTCAGGCATGCGTTTGTTTATTTTATTCAATTTCTAACAATACCTGAAATCTGAGGGGACATATATTTTAGTGTCAGAAAGGTTGTTTGGTAAAAGTGAAATTGCAGTGGGTACAATGTATAGAACTAAAACAAAGTTGCTGGAACAGCTCAGCAGATCTGGCAGCGTCTGTGAAGGAAACAAAGAGTTAATGTTCCTCAGAAAGGAAGGGTCACCAGACCCGAAACGTTAACTCTTTTTTTCCTTCACAGATGCTGCCAGACCTGCTGAGCTTTTCCAGCAACTTGTTTTTGTTCCTGATTTACAGCATCCGCAGTTCTTTTGGTTTTTATAATGTATAGAACTAACTGACTGCAGGAAGCATTATTCTGCGGCTTCATGACAAGCAGGGTGTCTCCTGACTTGCATGTTTAAATGTTCAATTGGTGAAAGTTGCTGTTGGATTTACAGGTTAATACTGTTACTGAGACCATTCATTTTTTTAATGGCATACCCTGCCATTGTTGGGCGAGAGGGAGATTTTACATCTATAAGGATTTGAAAGTGTTTGCAGCCCACAGAATAAAAATTCATTTTCAAACACTGAATTCTCTCAGAGTCATAGAATCATACAGCATGGAAACAGACCCTTCGGTCCAACCAGTCCATGCCAAACATAATCCCAAACTAAACTGGTTCCGCCTGCCTGCTCCAGGCCCATATCCCTCCACACCTTTCCTATACATGTACTTATCCTAAATGTCTTTTAAACATTGTACTTGTACCCACATCCACCACTTCCTCAGGAAGTTTATTCCACACAAGAACCACCCTCTGTGTAAAAAATTTGCCCCTCGTGTCTTTTTAAAATCTCTTTCCTCTCACCTTAAAAATGTGCCCCCTAGTCTTGAAATCCCCCATCCTAGGGAAAAGACACCTACCATTAACCATACCTATACCCCTCATGATTTTATAAACTTCTATAAGGTCACCTCCCGACCTCTCCAGTGAAAAAAGCCCCCACCTATCCAACCTTTCTTTTTAACTCAAACCTTCCATACCTGGCAACATCCTGGTAAATCTCTTCTGAACCCTGTCCAACTTAATAATATCCTCCCTATTACTGGGTGACCAGAACTGGACACAGTACTCCAATTTCCTGTACAACCTCAACATGACTTCCGTACTCCTGTACTCAAAGGACTGAGCAATGAAGGCAAGTGTGCCAAATGCCTTTTTAACCACCCTGTCTGTATATGTACTGAACTATTTAAAAACATAATCAAATGTTGATATCAATGGAAAAACAGGTAATTAATTGCTACACCAAATAAACAACAAAGCACCAAACAAGTCAGTCAACATTTTAGACAACACAGGGATGTTACTGTTTCAGCTCAAGTATATTGTTCATACACATCTTTTCCATTTGTTTATAGGATGCACTAACAACAAGTCCAACATTTATCAGCCATGCATAATTGCCCTTTGAAAAGGTGGTGATGAACTGTTGCTTTGAACCACTGCAGTCGGTGTGATGTAGGTACACCCATAAAGCTATTCGGGAGAGAGTTTCATCATTTTGAAAAAGGCCCAATGAAAGAATGTTAAGGTAGTTCCAAATCATGATGGTGTATAATTTGGTGGGGATGTTTTCAAGTGTCCACTGACCTTGCTGCTGTGGATGTGAGAAGACGTAGGTTTAGAAAGTGCTGTTGCGGGAGGTTTGGATGACTTGTGACAACGCAGAGAAAGCAAGAACTGCAGATGCTGGAGTAAGACTGACAGTGCATGCTTTATATAGTACATACTGCTGCCACTGTGAACCAGTGATGGAGTTGATATTCAAGGTGGTGGATGAGTTACCAAGTAGGTAGTCTCAATGCTTCTTGAGTGTTTTTGGAGTTGAATTCATCCAGGCAAGTGGGAACTATTCAATCACAATCTGAATCTTGCTTGTGATGGTAACCAGAGACAGAAGATGAGTTAACAAGGTGTAGAGCTGGATGAACGTCAAGGCTCTACACCTTGTTATCTCAGATTCTCCAGCATCTGCAGTTCCTTCTATCACAGAAGATGAGTTACAGGTTTCAGAATTTCTAGCCTTTGATCTGTTATTGTATCAACAGAATTTATATGGCTGGTCAAATGAATTTTGCCAGGATATTGGCATGGGAGATCCAACAGTGGTAATGCTAATTAAAGTCAAGAGGCTATGGTTAGAATCTATTTCTCTTACTAAAGAGAGTCATTGTGTGGCACCTTATGATACAGTACTGTTCATTGATGAACTAGCTGAAAATAGTTGGACCTGAAGAACTTCTGCAGTAATGAGGCAAAAATGATTGTCATTCAGCTGCTTTTCTGATATTTTCCAGTTAACCTTGTGGGATCGTTTTCAGTAATGACCGAGTTCGGTGAGTGGCAAAAATAACCTCTTTATTGAGCATCCACAGTAGCACAGTTTGAGGCAGCGATGGAATCTTTTACAGAAGACTCTTTTATACACAGTTTTTACATACATTAAAATTTTAGCACTGTGGTGTCACATAGTTGTATCTATTATACACAAAAGCTTGTGTGACAACTGTCCTGGGGAAGCAGGAGATGGTTTAAGTATTTGCTAAATGTTGGCTGTTACTCCTGATGGATTACAATGTCTGTCTGGTCTGAGCTTGCATAATTAAGAGGTGTTAGTCCTTTTGTCTTTAAAATTAGTAATGTTAGTAAAAATACCAGACCTATATGATCTAAATAAGTGAGAAATTATGTGTTTACTAAATAAAAGTAGAGACGATATTAAACTGATCTACCACAGCTGGGTTGTGAGATTTCGATTACTATTGCTGGCTTTGGTAGTGCTTACACATTCATTCATGCAGTTTCATGGAAGCATGCTTTGATAATAAGTTTATTAAAGGAGGTAGCAGCCCTATTTAATATGTATCTAAAGAGTACATACGAATTGAGAAAACTGTTTGATGTCTACAACCTATTCAGGTCCCAAGAAACGGTTGCTAAGGGCTAATTAATATTATAGTCTTTCTATAGTTTCTTATGGGTTATAGATGGCAGGGAAGGCATTGTTCTGAGTAGGTTACGGTATTAACACTTATTCAGGGGTAGCCTTTGACACAGAAACAAGTCTAAATACTGTTTGAGCATGGGCCGAAAAGAATTGAAAGGTGTAAAGAGATAGTAATGGGTAAGAAGGGGTGTTTAATTTAGTTTATAAAATATATACTACAAAAACGCAGTTTTATGAAAGTGTGAATGGAAATGCAGTATGATAAACATAGTGCACTTATGAGTGAGTTAGTAAAGAGTTATGAATGAATGGCAACGCGGTATAGTAAACATCGAGCACTTGCGAGGGAGTTGGTAAAGAGAATCATAATACAATATCTCACAACCTGTTCAGAGATTCTCATTTCTGGAGGGGTCTTGACCCCCGACCTTCTGGCCCAGAAGCAGGGATCTTAGATATTTTGCACCAGAGCAATAGTTATTTTCTAATCAACCTGTTCAGTGATTTTATTACTCATCTTTGAAACAGGGTGTGACTTGAACCCAAGCCTCTTGGCCCAGAGGTAGGGATACTACCACTGCACCACAACTTTGCTTTGTGCTAGGTATGATTCCAATCAGCTGGAGGATTTTCCCTCTGATTCCATTGACTTCAATTTTTCTAGGGCTCCTTGATTCCTCACTTGGTGAAATGCTACCTTGGTGTCACATGCAGTCACACTTGCCTCACCTTTGGAATCCAGCTCTTTTCCCCACATTTAGACCAAGTCAGTAGCAGTATCTGGAGTTAAGTGGCCCTGGCAGAACCAAATGATCATTGGTGAGCTGGTTGTTGCTTGATAAGACTACTGTTGACACCTTCCATCACTTTCTTGACATACTGAGTGTAAATAGTTGGAATGGTCGGATTTGCAGCATCCAGTGCACTGGGACATTATGGACTTTACTATAGATACAGAATGCAGTATCTTACTTTTCTTGCTATTGTAAAAAAAGGGAAATGTTGATTTCAGCTGTAATTAAAAACATCAAATAGCGGGAAAACTGGGCAAAACTGTTGGATTAATGCTTTAATTAGAGGTCCTTTCTGTCTGAAGATTTTAGCAATGTTTACCAAGTTTCAGTTGATTTTAACCTGTTTTGAATGGTCAAAGAGCCAAAAAGATCGAACGTAAGCTTTTTTTCTATTTGGAATGTGATCAATAGATGTTCTCGTCAAGCTTTGGGGTTACCATGGCAACAGACTGTTCCACCATCTAACAATTATGACCTGTAGGGATCCACAGAGGCTCTATCAATGAAGGGAACACAAAACAGTAAGCAATAACTAGTCCTGCCATGATTAAAGGGAGATTGGAAAAACTGATTTGCAGCCGAATCCTCTGTGGACTGAAATATAAGAAAAGCTGAGAATCAGGACCTGAGGGGAATGTGCAGTGAAATCTGAAGATGAAGATCGACCTTCCTTTCTAAAATCAGAGATTTAATTGGTTCGAATTTTTTTCAGCTCCTTGTAAGCATTTTATGGTGGAATCTTTTAGGTTTTTGATTGGTAAAGGATTAGTTCCTGATTCTGAAGGTCTTCTCTTATTGTAGTAAATAAAGCAGCTTGATCGTTTAGTTTGTGTCTTCCATCAAAAATATTGTGTCAGATTAGAAATTAGAAAGTCAGATTCTATGATTAGAAATATTAATGTCATTGCATTGCTTCATTCATTAACAAATATGAATTAGTCAATATGATGGGAAAGAATACAACTTGGCCATGAATGACTGTTTAATGTATATTTTTAATAAGTTAACCCTTTTGTAGTTTGGATCTCACAGCTGTGCCCTCACTTTCCTTTAGTCGTTCAGTTTGATTAAAATAAATAGTTAAAATCAATACTTTATGATGACAGGAATAACTTGAGTAAGTCAGCTTTAACAAAACAAGATGTCCCACAGCACAGCAAAGGAGTGAAGTAACAAGGCAGAGATAGATTTAAAGGAGTGTCTTAAAGGAAGAACAAGGGAAAGATGGAGAGATTTAAGATGCAATTCCAGAGTTTAAGGCTTAAGCAGCTGAAGCTCGTGCACTAATAATGGAGTGATTTAAAATTGGGGGCAAGAATTAGAGGAGCACAGAATGTAGAACATAGGACTTGGGGACAAGGGAAGGCCATTTGGCTGCTTGAGCCTGCTCCACCATTCAGTATGATGTTGGCTATCTGGTTGTGGTCTCTGTCTTTCTTGCCTGTTCCCCCATAACCCTTAATTCAGAAATCAAAAATTTATCCAAGTTTTGAATAATTCATTGGAATTGGGGAAGACGGTGGCCTACTGATATTATCACTAGACTATTAATTCAGAGACCCCGAGAACTTGGGTTCAAGTCATGCTGAGGCTGATGGTGGAGTTTGAATTCAATTGAAAATTCTGGAATTAAGGGTCTAGTGATGACCATGATGTCCTTTTAGGGAAGCTATCCTTATCTGGGCTGACCTACATGTTACTCTAGACCCACAACAATGTGGTTGACTCTTAACTACCCTCTGGGCAATTAAGCAGAGGCAATAAATTCTGGCCTAGCCAGCAATGCCCTCATCCCATGAATTAATAAAAAAATGTTGAATAATTCTGTGACACAACCTCCACTACTTTAGAGATTAGCAACTTTCTGATTATGGGGGGAAAAAAATAATTCTCTCCATCTGTCTTAAAAGGAAGACATTTTGTTTTTAACTGGTGTCCCTCTCAAAGGAGTATAGGCTGGTGGAAATTAGAATTGGGGAGCAGCAAGGTCATGGAGGCTTTAAAAATAAGAATGAGAATTTTAAAATTTGAAGTGATTACTTGGCTGGTTTCACTTTTGGTTAGTGAGCAGAGGACTTTGTAAGGGTCTAAGCAATAGAGCTTGTAAAACTCAAATTTATGGATGATGCTTTATGACAGGCAAGCCAGATGTGTCTATAGCATAGAAGCAGGCCCTTCAGCCCACCATGTCAATCTTGGAATAATCATCCTGGGAGATGTCCTAATTGAGTGAGGATTACAACAGCAGATGAATTGCTGGAGTCCAGTGTTGTTGCAGAAATAAGTGGTCTGAATGATGGCATGGACTTGTAGCCCAAAGCTCATCTCCAAAATATTAGGGAACGATGGGTGTAGATTTGGGAGGTGACCAATTCAAAGGCTTAAGAGGAAAGAGAGTTTGGAGTTGGGTTAGGAGTTCAAGGTTGTTTCTTTGAGGAGAAGGGTGATGGTGGAAGATTTAAAGTAGAGAAGGAAAGGACATAAAGCGAGAGAATCATTAACCTTACCAGTTCAGTGAATGCTAATCAGCCAGCAGATTACAACCTATGGGACAGAATGCTTTTGAAACATAAGGCTGTCACCTGCAGGCCAGAGACAGGCGGTGGCTGTGTTTTGGGATTGCTCGCTGAGCCCTCAACTGATGGAGTATGCCAAGGCCACTGGTGAGCTTTCCCCTGCTGTCCAATCCCTGGGGGTGATAAACTCACTGACTGAAA